TCTGATTGTTGTATTATTGATATTACAAGGAGTCCTATTATATAGAAGAGGATTTGGGTAGTAGGTGAGGAGTAGGTGAGGGTAAATTGGTGGTAGGTGTAGTAGGTGTGGTAGTAGGTGGTGGTAGGTGTAGGTAAATTCTAACAAAACTATTAATTGATTGGCTAATTTATTAATAGAAGGGTTCATTTGTTATGCAATTAGAAACATGAAGGGGTGGAATCAAGGGGTGTATTTGTAATTTACCCTTTTATTACAGTGCAAGGTTTCAAATTGTTGAGAATTGAAAGGTGATTTGAAACTATTCAATGATGAGAATTGAAGATTTAATTTCTGGTTAAAAATGTTTTGATAAAAAGATTTGGTTTGGTGTAGTGAATCTGGGTTGTGTATAGTTGGTTGATTGTGATTAAGTTGGCTTGAGATTCTTGGTGGAATACTAGAAATCCGAGGGGAGTACGTACCCATGTTCTTCTGGTTAGTAGCTGGTAAAGTGGGAGGTGATTAGATGGGTCTTGTGATAGACCACTGGCAAATACACACACTACTTTTTCGAGGCCTGAATCACAAAGTTTAATCAAATTACTTCTCAGACTAAGGAAATGATTGCATCAAGCAACACACCATTATCTGAATGACATATTCCATTCATAGTACTTCTAGAAGTAAATAGTGATAGCATCCAATTGACAAAAAACAGTGTGTGTTATCTCTATGTTGCTTGACGATAAGACAAGTCAGAAATAAAGGTTTTTGTATATAAAAACTGTCTAAAAGGCCCAATTGCCTACATGAATGAAAATTCTGCTTAACAGAAGGCATGAATGTATTTATGGTTTACTAAAGTAATTACAACATCTGATAAAATTTTACTTTAAACTCATGAATATATAGTGAAACGTTAATCCCAACCAATAATGAGTACCTAGAAATTTATGACTGAGAAGGTCCAAACTATAACTAATTTAATACTGACCCAACTCCTAGATCCGACCCTTAGACCCAACCTAATTTCCGTAGTCGAGTATTGACTTTTGACTTTTGAGTTATTTGTATAAATTTAACACTCTATACTGTTTTATAACTATTTTTGGCTGTGTTCAGCTGTTAGTCAAGTTTTGGGTTGCCTTGAGGGCACAGTTTGAGTGTTGGATATGGCCAGAAGTCTGACTAGGCTGAGGAGGTGCGGTCGCATGTTGGCCATGTGCCGTCGCAGGTGCATGAGCAAAAATGTGCTGGTCACGTGACATCAGACAATCAGTGTTATATATCTATATCCTTCACCTCATTTCGTTTTCTCGACCAGAAAACAAATACTTCATTCCTAATTCAGTCCCCTTCTTCTCTCTCTACATTTCTCCTCTTTCTCTCTCTAGAACCATGCTAAGAAAAATTTGAGCAAGCTAATGGCGGATTTTGCTTTCGAATCAAGAAAGTTTGTCTTAGAGTTTGTCAAGGGCTATGTTTTCATCAGTTTCAAATTTGATTTTCATCGACATGCGTGGAGTTAGGGTTTCGTTCTTCTTAATTTGATGTAGGAATTTTCTTCTCTTTGATTTATATAAAATTTTGAATTCAATGTGTGGTTTTTTATTCTACTACAAAATTATGAAATGCAATTATGAAATGCTGTAATTTATCATGTCATGCATGTTAAGGAGTTTTATAGAAATTGAAGAAATGGTTCTCTTTCCTCCAAATTTTTTTGAAATGTTGTTGACAATCTAATTATTTTATCTCTCCAATGAAAAATTTTAGTAATTTGCTTGCCCTTAATCTAAATGGTAAAATTTTGATAACCCTATTGTGTTGAGAATGTAAAAGATTGTTCAGAATAGAAATCAATGTATGTGCAGTTATTTGAATCATTATATTGAATCAGTTTTGAATAAATGTAGAATTTTACTTTTGTATGTTGAAGAATTCATCAACAAAATTAGAAAATTGAGTTGAATCATTATGTTATGAAAATGAGTTGCATGTTAATAAAGATTATTGGTGAAAGTTTCAAGTAATTAATTTCTTGGTTTCAATTGCGATGAACACTGATTATTTTATTAAGGGTAAATTATAAATACACCCTCTGAGTTTTTCTTAAAATACTGATTGCCCCTTTAGTTTTGAAAATAACAACCACCCCCATGTCATAATTTTTTATTTAACAAAATTACTAGAAAAATAAAATTCTTAACTACTCTTCTGTACAACAATAAAATTATTTGAATTGTTAATTGAAATATATTTATGATATCATTAAAAACTTGTTAAAATTCATGTATTATTGATTTATATATTGATATCTGAATATATATATTTTATTTATTTATTTATTATTATTTTTTTTAATGGAAAAGGGAATATAAAATAAAATAAATAAAGGTAATATGGCAAAGGATAAGAGAGTATAATATATTATACAGGTTTGGTGGGAACGTGGAGCAGTGTAATGAAAAGAAAGTGTATAGGTTGGAGCATCGTGGGTCACATGATGATAAATAAATAGGAAAAGAGAGGGACAGGGCAATTAAATTTTATAATAAACAAAAGAAAAATTTTGGGCGGTGGATGGGTGTGATAAAAAAAAGGAAAAGGGAGGAGGATGAGAATAAAAAAAAATATATATCAAAGTCTGTCTTGATGGGCTGAGAGAGAGAGCCGAACAAGGCACCTGCCTGGGTGAAGACAAACGTAGGAGCATACATCCCTGCCACAAAAATCACCTGCATCACAGTCGGAAACGAAGTGTTGACACTGAACGACACTTCTCTTGAGCGACAGCCTCCTCTCGGCGATGCAGAGCGTCCACACGGCTCTGGTGAACCGCAATCTGGAGAAGTAGGTCAGTGTGACTACGGCACACTCCCTGGCTGTTCTTGAAACCTCCTATCCACCCTCTGCAGGAGCATTCCGTCCAGATCTCAGGTATGCTGCTGCTGATGAGGCTGATGAGGTTTCTGATCTCCGGCCATGATGTCGAGATCCAGATACGGATCGTGACAGGGAAGCGCTCGTGCCGGCGGGCCGAGGGGGTTGGCCGAGTGGATGTCGCGGTCGCAGGTGACGCAGAGAGAGGCGGCGTCGGCCTTGCAGGTGAAGCTCGCCGGAGGGCCCCAAATTTAATGCAGGAGAGAAGAGATTGATATTTTTGAAGACCAGATGGTGAGAGATGGTGTTTGTGTGTCTCTGGTATGTGCCTCTGTCGTGTGTGAAAGCTGGTGTGTGTGTGTGTCGAGTGGGAGATCCGGCGGGCGGTCAAGGCCAGGTTGCCGCCCGCCGGAAGGCGAAGAACACCAAGATCTTTAACCTATAGCTCTGATACCATGTTAAAATTCATGTATTATTGATTTATATATTGATATCTGATTGTTGTATTATTGATATTACAAGGAGTCCTATTATATAGAAGAGGATTTGGGTAGTAGGTGAGGAGTAGGTGAGGGTAAATTGGTGGTAGGTGTAGTAGGTGTGGTAGTAGGTGGTGGTAGGTGTAGGTAAATTCTAACAACAAGTCTTAATTCCAGTGTTTCGGGTTGCTGCATGGATATTTTGTTCCTCTAGTTTCTCCTATTCCAAGCCAGCCATATCTTCACGTAAATCCAAGTCGTCATGTTATTTTTCACTGCCTTGATCCATGTCCTTCTTGATGGTTCAGTATGTTCTGTTCTCATTCATAATTGAAATGTATGCTAATAAATGTGAATCAAGATAAAAGCTCTTAATTATGTTCCAGTCTATCTTAACCCTTTTATTAGGGCCCTCAACTTGCAGGGTTTTTACTAGTTGTTGTGACACTATTCTTCATTGCTTCTCCTAATCTAGTTCAGGCTAATACTATGTAGCACACCCCCACCGGGATTTGTGGTTTCTTGTATTGGCAACATTCGTTTTGCCAAGTATTACTAGACAATCACATAAAATCAATTCAACTCAACATAAAGCCTTGAAGCACATGTATATTTTTAGAGAGAGAGAGAGAGAGCTTAAGTATCATCTCACCTTTTTCGCAGCCCTTTTTGCCTCTTTGGAGGAGGGGCATCAAAATATCTTACCAGAACATAAATTGTTTGAAATTATTTTGTATACTTCATTGCTTAAGATATTATGGAATTTGAAAAATTGAATTGTAATGGATGATAAGGCATGCCTATAAGTCCTTTGAAGGTGCATATCTTAATTGAATTTTTTTTAATCTTGCATAAGCTTTAATATTAGCTTTTAATTTTTGTATTAGAAGTAAATATTGGGTTATTTTATTTTATTTTTAAGTTCCTAAACCAAATATTGGCTTAATACGTATTATTGTATCTGATTCAATATATTAAAGTCAAGAAACACATTATTTTATTTATTTATTTATTTATTTTTGATAAATAAGAAACACATTAATTTTACTTATTTATAATATTCAAACAGGAAATAATGTGCAATATCATATCTTAATGTTAAAATTGATGTATAAAAAAAAGAAATAGAGAATTGTATTATTGATTGATTACAAGATTGTTATATATTACAAATGGTGAGTGGCTCATGAGTGGCTCATTATATAGGAGAGGGTGAGTGTAGTAGGTGAGGAGTAGGTGAGGAGTAGGTGGTGGTAGGTGATGGTAAATTTTAACAAGATCCTACCTCAATATGTCTTTATTTATTAGCCTAATATAATAACATAAGCTACTAACCTTACATATATTAAAGTGCCAAAAGAACACAACAATAGAGAAGAAGAAAAATACAATAAGAAATCACAAGTATTATCAAATGGAAGAAGACTAGTGAAATATTCCAAAAGAAAAGGTTAAAAGCATGACAAGAAAAGCTTATCCTTACTTGGGAACCCGAGCAAAGAGAAGATTGGTCAACACATCAAGCATAACCTGAAATTGCCTAGATGTCATTGTTGCTGTTATATTATGAGAATTGAAGGTGAGCTCCTTCAAGGGTTTCATCTGCACCAGAATGAAATTTTAACCTAATGATCACTTTAAGTGAAAAGTAAATTCCAACTATCATTTTATACTATATAATCAGATCTAGAGAAAAAAATGACAAATCTGGTGTCCACCTTCAAGTCTGCAGTTCCGCCTTTGTGCCTTGTGTAGCGGAAGAACATATCACAAGGCATAAACACACCCTTTCAAGCAAAGCACCAGTACGCTTTACTTTTGGAGAACTCCTACGGATTTTTGGAAGCCACTGCAGTCCAGCCCCTGGGTCAACATCGGTTGGTGCAACATGAGCCTGAACATGCTCCAACATCACAGAAAATTCCATGCAGTTCCATGTCATTTCAGGTTGACATTCTGGAACAGGTACATTTTCAGTACCAAGCGCTTGTTCAATCATTTCATACCCAACATGAACGACTGAATTTAATGAACGGGCTAAAACACGGCCACTAGCAGCAGCAAGCAGAAATCTACCCTGTCAACAAACAAACAAAATAGTACAAGTTATACACACGTAATATGGCTAGAACTTCCAAGTTGTATTTCAGCTTGTATTATGAGTTTTTACCAGATAAAGTCAAGTTACCTAATCATGTTGAAAATGGGAAATCTAAAAATTAGTGGAAATAACATAATTGCTGCTGTTACACATGCAGTTCCTCGAACTGTAAATACCTGTGGGTAGTTATTGATGTAATAGAATAAATAGGTTAATCTGTTAACTAGCCTATTAGCTGTAGTCTATAAATAGGCGATGTAATATTCCATTGTACTTAGGTTTTTATTTAAAGAATATGCGTTGTGATTGGAGTAGAGCTTGATTTCCCTCTCCAGCCCTTACGAGCTTACCCCTAATTGGGGCATTTGTCTTCTCTTTCTCAATTTGATCTTTGATTAGCGTATGGATTGCATTATTTGGTATCGGAGCTTTAGTATTTGGATCCTATTCTTCTATTGTTCTTTCTTCCGATTTTCTAATTGAATCATCACCTAGAAACTGACCTAGTTCAAAAGAATGAAAAGAATTATTTGGCTTACCTATGAATGAGATAAAGCCTTGTATTTATAATGAAACAATATTACAAAATAGGAAACGAACAAAATAAGAAACAGACAAAATAGGAAATGAAGATAAAAAAGGTATTAAATATGTGATTGATACAATCACAGATTTTATAAACACTGCCATAATTACAATATCACTATTTCCTAATTCCAACACTACCATAATTATAATACCACTATTTCCTAATTCCAACACTCCCGCTCAAGCTGGTGTGAAGATATTCAATAAACGCAGCTTGTCGATAGCTGACTGGAGTAATGTTAGGCCTACAGACTTGGTGAACATATCTGCTAACTGTTGAGAAGAAGAGACAAAGGATGGTCTCACAATACCAATCCGAACCTTCTCTCGAATGAAATGTGTATCAACCTCTATATGCTTAGTACGCTCATGTAGGACAGAATCAGAAGACAACATAATAGCATGCATGCTGTCACAAAATAAAGAAGCAGGAGCAGTCTCCTCAAATCCTAACTCTACGAAAATAGAACACAACCATAGAATTTCACAAGTGCCTTGTGCCATAGCCCTATACTCAGCTTCTGTTGAAAACCTAAAAACAACTGCTTGCTTCTTACTTTTCCATGATATAAGATAATCACCATAGAAAGTACAGAAGCCAGAAGTAGAATGCCTATCCGTTGTAGATCCTGGATAGTCAACATTAGTAAAACAGGAGAGTCCAGATTGAGGATCAGCTGTGAAGAACAATCCCAAGCCAGGAGAGGTCTTCAAATATCTCAAGATGTGATGAACCTCATCAAGATGTTCTGTACGAGGTGCATGCATGAATTGGCTAACCATACTAACCGTAAATGTCAAGTCAAGTCCAGTATTGGTCAGATAGATGGGACGCCCAACAAGACGTTGATACATACCTGGATCCTCTAGTACTTCGCCAGACTCAGTGAGCTTGACATTGGGATCCATAGGAGTAAAAGCAGGTTTACACCCCAACATACCAGTATCCTTAAGTAAGTCAAGAGTGTACTTCCTTTGAGATAAGGAAATCCCCTGCTGTGAGCGAGCCACCTCAATCCGTAGAAAATACTTGAGATTCCCTAAATCCTTGATATCAAAGGTGTGTCCCAAATCCCGTTTTACTTGATCAATGTCTATAGAGTCATCACCAGTGAGAATGATGTCATACATATACACCAACAAGACTATACACTGACCTGCAGAATTACAACGGATGAAGCAATTATAGTCTGAATGGCACTGAACAAAGCCCATAGAGATAATGACTGAGTTGAAACGACCAAACCAAGCTCATGGAGACTGCTTTGAGCCATACAAAGACTTGCGCAGTTGACATACTTGTCCTGAATACTCCCCCGCAGCTCGAAAACCAGGAGGAGGGGCCATATAAATCATCTCAAGAAGATCTCCACATAGAAAAGCATTCTTGACATTAAGCTGATAAAAGGGGCTAAGAATGGGATGCTGCAAGAGAGATAAGTAGACGAACAGAGGTAAGCTTGGCAACTGGTGCAAAGTTAGCACCAAAATCCTTGCCAAGAACTTGAGTGAAGCCCTTGGCCAGTAAGCTGGCCTTATAACGGTCAACGAAGCCATCAGGTAGGTACTTAATAGCAAAGACCCATTTGCAACCCACGGTACTCTCGCAGAAGGTAAAGGAACCAAATCCCAAGTATGATTCTGTTCTAAAGTTGCCATTTCAGTCTGCATTGCCGCCCCTATTTTGGATTCTGAAGGGCCTCTGACACAGACCGAGGAATAGACTCGGACTCAAGCTTGCCAAGGAAAGAATGATATGAGTCGAAAACCCTGTCATATGAGAGATACTGAGAAATGGGATGATTGGTACTACACAGATAACCCTAACGATTGAGGGAATGGATCTCAAGGAGGATTACAGCGAGGAAGGGAATGAGAGGTATGTAAAGGGGAAGAATTACATGACCCAAGATCTGGAGAGGTGGCAGGAGGGGGCTGAGCATGAGGGCGGCGAGAGTATACTTGCACGGGAGGGGAGGAAGGAGGCAAAGGTGGAGGATGAGAGAGGGGGTAACCTCATCCGCAACCGCATCCAAAATGGGGACCGGGTGAACACTTTGAGTAGCTGAAGGAGAAACCTGCAACGGGGGGTTAGGACTAAAAAAAGGAAGATCCTCACAAAAAGTAACATCCAGAGTATTGTGAAAATGACAAGACACACGATCAAAACATCTATACCTTTTAGACATGGAAGAATACCCCAAAAAGACACAATGAATAGACTTAACATCTAACTTAGTGTGAGTGGGACGCCGGTCCTGAACAAAACATGTACACTCAAAAACACGAGGCAAAAGAGGAAAAATGGTAGTATTAGGCATAAGAATATGGAATGGAGTAAGGCCATGTAACACACGACTAGGAGTCCTATTAATGAGATAGACAGCAGTAAGAAAAGCCATATGCCAATAAGACTTGGGCACACTCATACCACGAAGAAGACAATGCACGACAGACATTATATGACGGTTTTTACGTTTAGCCACACCATTTTGTTCAGGGGTCCAAAGACATGTAAGTTGTTGAAGAATACTTGTTCAGGTGAGAACGAAACTCACTGGAGATGTATTCCCCACCATTATCAGAGCGGATGTTCCTAATAATGGTATGAAATTGTGTCCATTTGCAAAAACTGAACAAAGATGGGAAACACATCAGACTTACTGCGAAATAAATAGACCCAAGTGCACCTAGTGTGATCATCAATAAAAGTCACATAATAACGATGAACCGAAAAAGTAGGAACAGGAGAGGGACTTCAAACATCAAAATGAATAAGGTCAAAAGCACTAGGGGCATGTGTCATATGTGGTATGTAACTAGTACGGATATGTTTAGACAACTCACAAGTAACACAATGAAATTTAGAATCCTTACAAGCTTTATTTAATAACGGAAAAAGTTGACATAAATATTGAAAGTTAACATGACCCATACGAGCATGCCATAACTCTAAAGTTTGAACAAAAAAAACACAAAATATAGAAGCAGGCAAAACAGACGCCTGAAAACTGGCTAAAGGCAAAGAAGGTTGGTCTGGTGGATCCCCAAAGTAGTGTAGCCCATCGCGCTCATATCCCCTGCCAAAAATCCTCTTCGAACTTAGGTCCTGTAAAAGACACGAAGAAAGTAAAAAGATGACGACGCAATTAAAGGTTTTGACAAGACGACTAATAGATAAGAGATTATAAGCAAACTTGGGAACATGCAATACAGAAGATAAAGTGATATCAGGGAATAAAGATATAACACCATTATGTTGGACAGAAGAGCAAGAACTATCAGCAAGACACACAGATTGGGCAACAATGGTGGGTGTAGGAGAGGAAAGAAAAGAAAAGAAAACTCACCAGTCATATAATCATTAGCCCCAGAATCCAGAATCCATGAGGGATTAGCAGACCGAACATGGAAAGCAGTAGAAATACCTGTAGCAATGGTGGCAGTAGAGGATGATGGACCAAGAGAACCAGTGGTGAGAGACCCAAGTTGGGCCTGAAGCTGACCAATTTGAGTCTGTAACTACTGTAGATTAGGGACATTAGGAGGCTCAGAAGCAAGAGTAACTTCCACCAAAGTAGTAATGTGAGCAGAGCCAAAACTACGTATAACAAGACCACGAGTTCGGGAAAGGCATCGCCTTAACTCAGGATGAAGTTTGAAGCAACGAGCTTTGACATGTCCAAGCGCACCACAATGATGACAAGTAACAGAACCGGTGGAACTTCGAGAACCAGAACTCGCAGCAAGAGCCATTTGATTTGCTAAAACTGGAGGTACTGAAGGAACACTAGGCTGAACCAATCGTCAACGACGCTCATCACTGTCAATAGTGGCAAAAGCCTCATAAAGAGATGGCATGAGTGATGTGTTGAGAATCCGAATTCGAGAGATTCAAATTCAGAGTTCAAACCCATGAGAAACTGATAAATGTGCTGTCGGGCAAAGCCTCTTGGACATAAGGGAGGCGGCTTCTGGTGGAAGGTCAGTCAAAGGCTCATATTAAGCAAGTTCCTCCCAACAAGCCTGAAGATAGCCAAATAATTCAGCTACAGAAAGGATAAGAGAGGATTGAGAGGCCCGGGCTATATCTTGGTAAAGCTTGAAGATACGTGCATTATTGTGAGCATGAGCATACATCTATGACAATGCCTGCCACAAACTCGGAACTGTATCGCAATAAAGGAACATATGATAAATTCGATCTTCCATGGAATTGAACATCCATCCCAATATGATGCAGTTATCGATATGCCATTGAGCACGTGTAGGGTCTGTCGCAGCTGGCGGGGTAATAGTAGATAAAAGCCAATGGGCCTTTCCCTTTCCTCCCAAGGTTGAGTTTAAGGAAATGGCTCCAAGCAGCTAATTTTTTCCCATTCAACACC